TAGTTGTTGAATTATATTCTTGGACATAGTCCATTAAAAATTTCTGGATTCAGATTGAGCTTAACACCGAAGAAAAATGGGGTGTGTGGGTGTTGTTGCCTCTGCTACTCACTCAGGCTCATACTCTGAGACTCAACCACACCTTTCACCCGTTGAATGTCTCTTTTATGCAAGCTAGTATTATGCAAGAAAGCTTGGCATCTGAATTTAGGAGTATTCTTTATACCTTCAGAACTCGAGATAATTGTTATATAACTCCATTACGAAATCGAATGATCTCATATGAACAGTTCGAAATGAGATGGCTGAAACCACCCATATCCTTAAAATCGGCAAAAAAATTGCTGATTAATCCCGATTCATCGAAACGATAATCGTGCGCTAAATCGCGATAGAATCGCCGATTTACCACGATTATTTCAGCGATTTTCTCGATAAATCGTGATTTTTGTGCGATATTTAACAGTATCAATTGATATTCTATACTCTTTCATTGGTTCTTTTGGGAATACATATTTCAATTTTCCCTTGATTCAATTTCATATAATTGTTTTGTTCTGAAAACTCAAGCAGATCAGATCTGGCAACCTGCTCTGATCTCGAGCTGGTTCGATCCTCAACAGGTCGGATGAATGTAGCCCTCTCCTGATCATGGATCGGGATTGGCATTTCCTTGATTAGAAATAATCAAGAAATAATCTATAGGAAAATTATATCTAGAAAACTTATATTGTATGCATTCAACGACGTTGTTTATATACCTCTGGGTGTTCATAACAAAACGGTGAATGAATAGTCAGCGTACAGAACGCAAAAGATATACATATTTTCACTGATTTATCACTGATTTTTGAAAATCAGCCCTTCTCCCATAATCGCGATAGAATCTGATATAATCGCTGATCTTTTACAGAAATACGATAAATCACGATCTTACGCCGATTATTTAGAAAATCGTCAAAATCGCGGCGATTTTCGCGACATGGGCAGTACAAGTTGAACCAATAAATATATCAACAATTAAATACTCAATTTATATCTTCAACGACAAATGAATGACATTATTATTTTCAACACATATCCTTCTACTGAACGATGATTTTCCAATGACAAATATCGATTAACTAAGATCTATACTATGCATCGGTGAATGATTAAGTGGCAAAATAGTTTGAGTCAAAATGTTCTTCGAAGCATACTCACTATAGGTTCTATTAGTTTATTTAGAAAATATATAAAATATCGACAAAAATGAACAAAGGGTAACCATTCGGTAGCATTTCTTGAAGACTATATTTATCTTCAAGGATAAATGAGTGATATTGTTAAGGAAGAATGGATAGAGACTCAACTAACACGTGATTGATGAATACTAAATGCTATATTGGTAGTGAAATATTCACCTTAATCTACATCTCTGAACGTCAATAGTGAGCGAGCACTATTGAATAATATCTATAGTTTCAAATTTCACTTTACACAAATATGGCTAAATGACAGTCATTTAATTAATGAATGCTCAGAATTATTGAATTATCTTGGTATTACCAATGATCAGAGGAGATTTTTCGCTTCAATTCTGAATTTTTTATCAAAATGTTTTTATATACTTGGGATAGTAACTCAATTGTTCTGATTATTCACAAGTGAATAGAAGTTTTCTGTTCTTCTATCGCAAGGTAAACATCTGATTAAAAATGGACTTAAGTTCTCGTACAGCAACAAAAAGATAAATCATTCTGGATTGCTAATATCTTGAAATGTATGTACAAGTAATAGGAATGAATCGATATGTAATTCTTATGAAATTTATGGAAAGATGATAGGTAGCTTAAATGGTAAAGCAATAGATCGATAATCAAGGTATGCGAGAGTCGTATATTAGTACGAACTCGACGATTCTTGTTTTCAAGTTGTTCATACTTGTTTAGAGATATCACTGTAGATATTCATTTTTGTTCTTCTTATACATAATTTCGTGACAAACAACATGACAGTACTTACTATCTTTTCTTTTTATTTTAAATTGAACTCATACCCTCACTCTCATCCTTATCTTAGAAAAGACCTATTCGCAAATGGAACAAGTGTCTGTTTTCCAACAACCTTTCGGCCCTGATGAGAATGTAGGCATAAAATCAAGGGGGAAAAGCAGATTTTAGCACCTAAAAACCGTTGGAAATCTTTGGGAATCTTGAAATCTGCTTTTTCCCCCTTGGGAAAACCGCTTAGTATGCTTTTATAACTGTCTGAAGTGTTTGAGTTAGTAGCACCTGTGTTCAAGAGGATTGTAGCTTTGAAAAATCAATAAACTTTCATTTTTTTCCTGCCAAATAATCACATCCCTGTAAGCAAATGAAACTATACTTAAAAAGATAGCAGTATTATAGAAATTGATTTTGATTCTAAATATTCTCCATCAAAAGATTAGCTTATACTGTGTTGTTACTTTAATGGTGAAGTTTCCTTAGCGTTTTCTTGACTGAATAATTCTTCAATGAAAGATGCTACGCTATGATTAATATTAAGAGTCTATAACATATGACACTCCCTCTTTTTCAGTTATGATTACAGTTTAGGATTGTCGATACGGTTAAAAGATAGAAAAAGCTTATTAGCGCAGCCCCTTAAGATTTAATATATAGAACTTATATATGTTCTTGAGGCTCGTTATTCTAACAGTAAACATGTCAATCGATTGCGAGAAAAGTGATCCAACTTATGTACTTCTACGTTTTCAACAGAAACTCTGTCTATTGTATAATGATGATCTATTTTTCTTTGTTGCTATTCGTTGGTTATTTTCATTTTTCGCATTCCGTTTTACTTAACCGATAAATAAAATTGTTTTATATATCCTTGGTACCTACACCAGATCTCAATAAGTGCACAAACACTGATATTGACTTTTTTATCTTGACTAAATGACGACTGTGGCAAATCAATGCATAACTATCCATCATGCTTGATCTCTTAGATATAAATTTTTATCTGCACAAAAGTAAAAATAAAAATACTATTTAGAACATTCGCAAATATATTCCAGCCGTTCAAAGTTCGAAGAAAACTTTGGAATGTTCTACTATTCTCATGAAGAGTCTAACGAAGAAAGTTCCTCAAACGATCAATTGGTTTTTAGTATAAACATACATGACTGTATGTAGTTCACTGCGCTGATTCCAAATATCAGAGTCTTAGCGGACCTTAGGCCTATCTAGATTCTGTTTCATCATTGTGAATCCCTTTTTACTAAGAATGTTTTAATCAATCTACGATGTACCATTAGATAAAATATTGAGAGGAATACTTGTTTTTTATAGACCCTTCAATCTTAAGTTTCAAATACTAAGTTATAAAGTAGCCAAGTAATTCGTTTATTGACTACAAGTAGCCATCTGAAATTTATTTTCGTTTTATCGACATTTATTAACAAATTAATCATAACTATACTATATGCAGCAAAGTATATAACAATAGAAGAAATAAAAAACATGTATGTTAATTTCTTAAAATGTAAAAAATTGGCCATCTAAGGATATACGTCAAAAACAAGCGGTAAATTTAGCGAGATCATGTAATGCAATAATAAGATAAAATTGTTTCTTTATCCTTTCATAATGCGAAAAAGTATTAATTCCAAAATGACACTTTTGCATATTAAATCTTTTTTTGTCTTACGATACATTTTAGCATTTGAAAGTCGAGGTTGAAGTATCTATAAAAAATTATTTCTGTAAATACTTTGTCTAGTAGCACATAATAGACTGATTAAAAGATTGATTTTTATGATAAGCATTCTTATGAGAAGAGAGTTCTAGTCATGTATGTTTCTACGAATACGAACTGTTTCCAAACGGAAGATCATTCATTGAAAAAAAAACCTGAAAAATTAAAATTTATTGGGAGTCAAACTCACAATATTAATTTGCTTATTAAGAAATATCATTTCTACTTTATGGAATCGTCTTAAGTTAGTTCGATGTCCTACACTGATGACAGTGGTGTCGTCACCAAGTTCATCGAATAAATTCGAATACAGATGTGCCTCAGTTTGTTGATCTAATGATGATGTAGCTTCATCTAAAAATATCCACTTCGGTCGATGAAGAAAAATACGAACAAATGACATCTTTTGCTGTTCACCCAAAGAGAGAATTCGTGACCAATCTTGAATATCATCAAGATTATAGCAGCACAGTGATTCGAGGTGACACTTATGTAAAAGACGATTAATGTTATGATCATTCTTCGATGACAAACATTTGGATGGATAAGTAAGACATTGGCGAAGAGAACCCAATGGACAATACGGTCTTTGAGGAAGAAACATAGTAGTATCATGAAGAGGAATAGTGATTGTTCCACAACCATATGGCCAAATGCCAGCAATTGTTCGGAGAAATGTTGATTTTCCGCACCCAGATGGACCTACCATGTAAAAAGAACGATGAACATTCTTTTTTTTCAGAAGAGTGAGAGTTAGTTTTTAGTGAAATACATGTGTTTAGTAAGCATCACCTGTGATGAGTACATTTTGGCCTGAATTAAACTCTACACTAAGGTTGTCAATAAGTATCCGTTGACTATTTGATGGAATTTGTATAGTTAACGCTTCAATTCGTATGAAATGCTTTCTTGACGAAGAGAGCAATCTAATCTTTGAATATTGTTTCGCTAAATGTAATTCATCTAAAGTATTTTCGAATTCTATCAATCTTTGAGTCGATGATCGCAATGCAGTAATTGTTTCATAGGAATTGGGCACGAATGAGAGTGAATTTCGCACACGAGAGAAGGCTGATGCGATTTGTGTCAAATCACCTAGTGATATTGCCCTTGCAAAGTATCGCGGTGATGCAACAATAAAAGGAAATATAATCGATGTATGGTTATAAGAATAGACAAACCAATCCAGACGAAGTGTTCGATGCATGATTTGTCGAAAATTTGACATCAATTCAATGAATAATGATAATAAAGACGCATCTTCTTCCAGTTCACCATGGAACAAAGCTACTGATTCAGCATGTTCTCGTAGATGTACAAGTCTATAACGAAAATTCGCTTCGTGAAGTTCTTGTACATATTTCAAACCAACAAGACCATGACCAATTCGATTAGTAACCACAGTACCTTAAAACATTCATTAAAACTATCTTTGACGTCATTGTAAGTTTTTATCATCAGCTTAACAAAAGTGCACTTGAAAATGAAAAGAAAACTAGTGTATAATTGGCAAAACATAAAGATCGCAAGGAAAATTTTCTATTAATTGTAAAGTTTGATTATTCATCATGATTTCTGAGATGTTGTCATATTAGCAGACGTTGGTAAAGTATCGATTAGCACCTACGCTTTCGATAAAACGCAACGACAAGTTGGTTAGTGAGATGGCTATGAGTATGTATGGT